GTAGGGTGCGCCCTCCACCCTTGTGGTGGCCTCGGGACTCTTCTGGTCCATCTCCGATGCTCTGTGGGCTTCTTCTAGTCTAAAAACAATCTCCGGGAATTTTCACGTCAATTGGACTCCGTTTGGTATTCCTTTTCTACGATACTCAAAAACAGACAAAAAACAGAAACTGGCACTAGGCTCTAGGTTAATAGGTTAGTCCCAAAAATAATATGAAATAGCATATTAATGCATAAAACATCCAAGAGGGATAATATAATAGCATGGAACAATAAAAAATTATATATACTTTGGAGACGCATCACACTCCATCCACATCATGGAGTTGTTGCTTGCTGAGGAGAAGTACAAGGTGGTCGGGTTCGACTTCGAGTACACCCGCGCTCGTGCTGGGTCTCATCCCAAGGTCGCTGTCACCCAGATGTGCGTGCGCGATCACGTCCTCGTCTACCACTACTGCCTGGCCACAAGGCCTTGCGAGCGTTTCGCCAGTTTTGTCAACAGCCCCCACTACATGTTCGCCACGGTTGACATCACCAACGATGTAAAGGTGCTCAAGAATTCGGGCATCGCCTTCCTGAATCTTGTCGACATCCAGGGCCAATACAAGATCTGGGGCAGCAACGAGCATGAGAAGGACTCACTGTTTTACCTCGCCGAGGCCATCATCGATCCCTACTATAGAGACATGAAGGATTCCTGCAATAAGGACAAGCGTGCCTGGCACTCGGCCTGGATGGAGAAACTCGACAAAGCCATGTCGTGTACGTGGCCAAGGAGGTGTACACGAGCTACGATATGTATAGGCGGATCATTGACATGAGGAAGTGCCTCCTTCCCCAAAACGACCACGGATCTAGCCGGAAGCAAAGCAATGGCAAGCGTCATCTCAACAAGAGGTAGATGATTAGATGATCGTTTCTCCTAGTTTAGTATGCATGTAATTGCTTACTTTGGTGTGCGGAAATGTTGTGTGTGTAGTCACTTGTGTAATTGTATGCTTAATTTGGTTTTTCAATGCTGTCTTTTTAAGTATTTATGTTGATGCTCGCTAGACCGAGCGTAGATGTTGTGCGAACATAGCAAATCATATCACACATGGACTAAACAATAGAACTCGTCGGTGATGATTTCATCAATCACTGACAATTGTATACCAACAATCTTTGCTCACAACACACACGGCTTGTTAACAGGAATCGTCTGTGTTGTTATCGGTCTTCCCACACATTTCCGATTACAGACATGTTTGCCGCGTATCACACACATCTTGCTAAGTTGAACCGTTTCTGTTGTCTTTCTTAATCGAAAACAGTTCATTCAAGTGAACCGTATGCCGTATATCACACACACCTTGATATGGCTAATCGTTTCTGTTGCTTTCCCTAATAGCAAACAGTTTATTGGAGCAAACTGTATGCCGTATATCACACACACATTGATATGGCTGTCCGTTTATATTGTTTTGTCTAATCACAAACAATTCGTATGGATCAATCGTATGCCCAACATCGCACACACAACTAAAATCTGAACCGTGTTTGATGTATCCGCCATCGCAAACGTTTTACATATTTTTTGACGTTTTTTTTACATCAGTGTTTGCGATTAATGCATCGCACACAGTTTCGTCAAAGGGTCTCTGATCGCAGTGGCGCGTTAGCAACATTCCTGTAGTAGTGTTACTCCAATATCAAACACGAAGGTCTGTCTGGACGTAAGATCATCCAAGAGCAGTGGCACCAGCCCAATCCCACATCATGAACTGCCAAGTTTTGGTGGTCTAGACACTCGACTATTGGCGAAAAGAGAGTGTATCGCTGCACTCTGAGATGAAGTTGATATCTTGAGGAAGCAAAAACATAGTCAAATGCTCACTAAAAACCTTAAAATTTGCAGGAATTCGGAATGAAGCAAGCTAAGATTGACTGCATTGTTAAGCATTTGATGGACAAACCCAATGGAAATTGCATTTCTTAAATCATAGGTGAAATGGTTGTTTCCATTGTTAATGACCTTTGTGTTCATGTAATAGATGGAAACCATTTGTTTTTAAGATTATGTAAAGATTGATTAGTCTTTATGAGATAATTTATTTTGTTAGCTAGGCCATCATAAGATATATGCCAGTCAACATGAATGCAACATTTGGCCAAATGGGCCGAAAGAGCTAGTGCACAAACGAGCTGAAAGCGCCACATACTGTTATTACACCAAAATGTTCCATGGATCACAAACGAGCCAAAAAATACGACCATATAAATGGGCACAAAGAGAGCAACAAGCCATAAATTGATCCTTTGTTTTTCTTTAACAGACACCTAGGGGAGGAATCCCCGCCCGAATTTCACCTCATTCAAATAAAAATTGATCCATTTTATAAGGGAATCATGATAAAAAACCCTAAACAGGTTGACCATGTTTATGAGGAAAACTAGGCTGAAAAATGTTAGAAGTAACAAGGGTTAAAAGGAGCCCAGAAAAAGGCACGACCTAGCTAGCAAATAGAAGGAACATCACCATGAGAGACATAAGTAGATCCTTTGTCAAACCCTAGCGAATGCATTTTCACGCCTTTACCCTCATGCCCTTTCTACAATTGTATTAGTCTCACAAGTCACATATCTGGCATGATGATTTCCTGTCGGTTCTTTGGAACTGCCTTACCGTTGTTGCCTTGAGAGAATTGGATGTCGTGTTTTCACTATTGTTGGTTTATGTCCCCAATGATGCCATTGATGAAAAGTTTCTCACCCGCAAGGTTGTCTTCTCATCAAAAAATGCATACAGCTTACTCACGTATGAGGATGAGGAGGAACCCAACACTGCACTCATTCGGAACTCAAAGGTTCCGATCAACATCCAAATCTTTGGTTGCTTCTTTTCAAAGATAGCATTAAGCCCAAGGCCAGCCTCTTCCACAAGAACATCGCTCAAACAATTGTTCCCCGGGTGTCAAGCTCGCTGGCAAGACGTGCTACATATATTCATCCTCTGCATGGACGTCGCTCTAATTTGGTAGAACCTAGGACTCCTTGCACCCTTCTCCATCGACCAAGGGATGTCCAAACGCTGCCGAGGCTCGATGCCGATCTCTTGCCACCCATGGCGCTCTCCATTGTATGGATAATTGGGGACTCTCAACGCCCTGGTCTTCCGCAATGTAGTACACTCTCCCGTTGTAACTATTAGAAACATCGTCTTTGACTTCACTCTTTAGTCTTTATTATTTAAGGATGCTACTCAAAAGATGCATGCCACCACAACATTACCTTCTCGTGCTCTAGCACTCTATTGCAACGCTGGCCACCGAGTGGCTTAGTAATGCATTTTGGGAGCCTCTCATCTGGTGATTGTTGAAAAAAGTTAACTCATATTTTGTAAAACAAATCAAGATTAGAGTTAAAGCTTAAAATCAAGGGAGTCTTACATATTTGGATGAACTGAGTTACCTAGGTCCAATATGGCAATATGTACGGATGTCCCCCTATCCAACGTGTCATGGCTCAACACCATCAGCTGGCTGGTCAGATGGCGTTGTGCAACTTTTGGACTTAGATGACACACTTGCTACACTTTGAGGACCTGAATACCGACTTTCATAGTTCAAGGACCTACATGACATCCTTGAAAATGTTTGAGGACCTATGAAGCACTTCACTCTATATTTCTACTAGGGTACACTTGCCTACCAGCATCGAAAGATCTGGCACATTAGATCAAGTTGGAGCAATGGTTAATATTCATTTGTCCCTACCATAAAAGAGCTTTTTGAGTACAGCATGCAAGTTGAGGGACGCGAACGTTTGGTTCCACCCAGGAATTGGATTTTTTTTTCTTTACAAAAACAGTCGCCAATAAAAACCCAACGTTGCAAACAAACAAAAATATTGTTATTTACTCCAAGACACTATTCACACTATTTTAACCAAATATTTGCTTTTTTCGCCCTGAAGTCGACGCGGGGTTTTCGTTGGCGTTAACTTAAGAACTTTTTTTATAATTATTAATTTTTTCCAAAGTATTTCCCGCAAGTTGAGTTACTACTCATTGGCCATGCAAAGATGAGGCACCCTTGTTGACGCCTAGAATCACTCCGGCACTATCCGAGCCATCTTCCCTGATGGAAGGGCTGTCAAGATGTTGTGCAAGCACGCTTGCAACACTTGCGACTTATTTGGTAGCAGGAAAATTTGTGAAGTTGTCAGTTTAAATCTATGATAACAAAAAGAAAAGCTTTCTGCATTCAAGAATGAAGAGAGAATAGAAGAACTGATTTGACGCCAATATTAACACAGAAATTGCACGCTGTACTATTGTGCCATAATTATTAATAGTAATTTACATGCTAACTGAAAGCTGCCGACAGACACAATGAAACCAAAGACCAAACCGTGAACACTAAACAAAGAGCATAGATGCACATCTCACGACTAGCAAACACGATTATTACGCGAGGGAAGTTTTCTACTTTTGGCTTGTGCTTCTCAAGCACCAAATCTTAAAACAGAGAGACACACGATAAATAAGAGGCAATCTACTCGTCCATTCTCATGATGCAGCGCAGGCCCTCCCCCTTGAGCATGAGGTCGAACGCCGTGTTGATCTGCGAGAAAGGCACGCTGTGGGTGATGAACTTCTCCAGGTCCAGCTCCTTCCTCATGTACATCTCCACGACTTCCGGGAGGTCGGTCCGCGGCTTGTAGTTGCCGAAGAAGGTGCCCTTCAGGGTCCTCTCATTGAGCAAGTTCATCGGGCTTGTCTTGAACACCGCCTCCTTGTGCGGGACGCCCACCAGCACCGCCACGCCCCAACCCTGCATCCAGCAGATTTCAACATTCAGTCTAAACACTAAAAATAGCTTGCAAATAATTATCATTGGAGTAGAGACTATATATAGGTATATTGAGAGCTACGTACATCATGGACACATTCGAAGGCGGCGATCATGGCGTCGATGTGGCCAGTACACTCAACCGCACGGTCGACGCCGCCATTGGTCATCTCGACAAGCACCTGGAGAGCAACATTGCACATTGAGTTTTTGGCACAGGATTGTGCATGTCATGAAGAACGAACAAAGGTGAAAATATGTGTTGAGGGAGATGGAAAGAACTCTTGCACTGGCTTGGTGTGGTCCTTTGGGTTCACAAAGTCGGTGCATCCAAATTTCTTAGCTGAAAAATTATGTACAGGATGTTCAGTGTCCCATCCAACAATATTTACCAAGATATCCTTGTTTTGCCTGAGGCAAATCGTACCTTGTTCGTATTTTGCAGGGTTCAAATCCACACCAATGATCCTTGATGCCCCAGACATCTTGGCCCCTTCCATGGCCTGATCATGTGAGGAGCACACAGTAATTAGTCACACAATTCTCTCCAGCCTGCAAAAATATGTCGTAGATAAAAAACATCTTGGAACGTCACTTACAGCAAGGCCTACAGCTCCAAGACCGAATATGGCCACCGTCGAACCCTTTTTCGGTTTCGCGACATTAAGGGTAGCACCAAGTCCTGCAGAAAAATGACAATTTAGCTAGTAATGGAGGTACCCTGAACATTGCGTTTCATTTGGAAACAATGGCATGAGGAGCCATCTCTTACCAGTTGAGATGCCACAGCTGAGAACACAAACTTTGTCAAGGGGCGCCTCGGGGTTGATCTTGGCGAGGCAACCAACATGGATCACAGTGTACTCACTGAAGGTGGAGGTCCCGACAAAGTGGAAGATGGGTTTCCCGTTGATGGTGAAGCCTGACTGCCCATCCCCGATCATCACGCCACGATCCACGTTGATCCTGAGGAGGTCACAAAGGTTGCTCTCCTCTGACTTGCAGTGGGCACAGTCTTTGCACTCGCCGGTGAAGACCGGGAGTACATGGTCGCCCGGCACGAGCTCGGTCACACCCTCTCCGACACTTTCAACAATGCTGCAACAAGAAGCAAGTTAGTAAACAGATTTAGCAGAAAAGATAAACTACGAAAACAAACATAATACTCATCATTCAATAAAATGCAGAAAAGGTCCACTTTAATAAAATTGACAACTGCCGGAATCTTTGATTATAAACTTGGTAAATATATAATTAATGAGGAGGTCGGCAACTGACAGAACATGGAAAATTAACAGTCCAAAACCATATGATTGTCCAAAGCACTTTACAGTGTGAGCTTGTGTCATGGATGACGTTAAAACATGATTCTTCATATGTTTTATCCCATGGCAATAAGATATGGACACTTTCTGTATGTAGGTATCGATCTAATACCATTGACAGAAAAGAGTTCAGGAATCAGGATGACTATAATTAGAAGCTAGTGTGAATAGATAATGATCAGTGTTGTGTCGTGATTCTTCATATGCTTTATCCCATGGCAATAAAATACGGGCACTTGCTGTATATAGTTATCAATCTAGTAGCACTGACAGCTCAGGATTTAGTAGTATGACTGTAACTAGAAGCCAATATGAATAAACTATGATTTAGGATTCAAGATTCCTCAGCTGAAACAGAATAAGACAGAGACAGAGAGGATGCATACCCTCCAGCTTCATGGCCCAAGATCCTAGGGAAAACCGGAGTTTGCCCCTGCACAAACAAACCCAAGCAGAACATGGCAAGTTAATCATCTATCCATTGATCCACGTGTCTTTCACCATACCCGTCTCGACTACGAGATGCAATTGTGTATTTGTGTGGATACCTTGGCTTCCCAGAAGTAGACGTCGGTGTGGCAGAGGGCGGTGTAGAGGATCTTGACGCGCACCTCCATGGCCTGCGGCGGCGCCACCTCCACCTCCTCGATCGACAGCGGCTTCCCGGCCTCCCATGCCACCGCCGCTGCAGTCACCCAAGAACCAAACCAATTAGATCAACAATTCCAGAGCTTCAAAATCAGACAAGACTGACTGCTATGTCAGGAACAGACCTTTGCACTTGATCACCTTCCCGGCGGTCGCCATCCCTGTCCCTGTCGGTCGCAAGCTCCAAGAACTCGAAGAGAAAGAAGATCGCTGTCTCTGCTTTGCAGTTCGATGGTTGTAGATTTTGGTGAGGAAGGAAGGCGAGGCGAGCCCTGTATATATACTCCTGGTGCTGGAGGAATCGGCGAGTAATTAAGGGTATGCTTGGAGTGCAAGCGGGGAAAGAAGTTGGACTGTTTTTCTTGGACAAGGCGGCCGAAACAGGGGTGTCCAGCCTCCGTTCGCCTGCCTGCGGCGCTGCGCGCGTCTCCGCTGGTTTCAAACCTCGTCCCCGTGTGGTATATGTGGAAACCATGGCGACGTGACCAAGGGGCTAGAGATCAACGGCAGCCGAAACAGAGTAAAAAACCCTGGGATGAGGCCAGAGAGGGCTGACTTGGTGACGGAAAACCAGGGCGACCGAGAAAACCAGCTGCGAGAACAACAGCGTCCTCCCCGCTCTGCAACGGTCCACGACCCGACGCATCGTCGTTTTGCTAGAAATAATACTATACGTAGTAGGCAGCTGAAAAGTCCATGGTTCTCTGCATCTGCCGGATCAGGGCAATAGGGCATGCATGCTGGATTGCTGGCCGTCGGCTTTCACAGTTTCAGTGTTTCCTCGGAGAGATTCAGTACGTAGTCTGTATCGGATGGCTGACCTGCCTGTCGGTTTTCAGTTCTATTGTTCTCTCCAGAAGATTCAGAAGTCTATATAGAATGTGAATCTTTACTTTTCCTACAATAATGTGAATCTTTTACTATCCCTAAAAAATGTGAATCTTTTAGTCCAACAAAGAACTCCCACCGTTTCTAAAAATAAGTCTTTTTAGATATTCTAACATGAACTGCATACGAAACAAAATGAGTGAATGTACACTCTAAAATACGTGTATATTCGTTTATATGTAGTCTATGTTCAAATCTCAAAAAGACGAATATTTAGGAACGGGGGAGTAGCATGACCAGCAGAAATCAGCTATACTACTCGTCGAGCTTTATGTTTTTGCCGCTCGCACCCTGACAAACAAACCACTGATTTTTTTTATAAAGAGTAGTAATATATTGATACCAATTACATTTAAACTCTACAACAAACATGATATCTGGAGCTAGTTGTGATATCGAGGATTCACGTATCTAAAAACAAAAACAAAAAACGACTTGAAAAGGTCAAGGTGACGTGAATAACTCGTTGCAACACAACATCAACAACTATCACTGTCATAGGCAACATCAAGAGTACGAGAAGGTCCCCAACATTGACGCCTTCAAAACGGTAATGGCGCTTAAACCTCATTCTCGCCGGATCCAACAATACAAGTCAGATCATTGATTTTCATCCAACGGAGAAAGTCCTAGCAAACTCCAGATCATGCCTTCAACAAGGGAGCTCATGCCACTACTGTCAAATACAACCAATGAAGGTCAAACCTCGGATTTTTATCCCGAAAATCAATGACTGGTACTCAAAGAGCACCATAAAAAATGAAACCTACAGAGTTGCCACCACCAACTTAACAAGAAGAAGTCTCGCTACAATGTCCGAATTAGCACCAAAACCGCGGACCAGGATGGACTCGACACATCGGGCAATTGCTGAGAAGCCATATCTACCTGGGCCAATATGTAGCACACCCTGATCATCCATCCCCGAAAGACAAAAGATACCTGTTGGAGTTCATCTACTGTGTTGGCGGGAAGCAAAGGCTAGGTTCAATTGGTTTAGTTTGGTCAGTAGTACTGTTACCGAGCACGTCGTCAGAACTGGACATGGCCAGTAGCTCCTCAACAATGTGAATCTGAACTGTTGGGGGACAAGTGTGATACTTGCCCTATCTATCCCCACACTTGAAGCACAAACCTCGCGCACGGTAGTAAGCCTGTAGTGCGCTGAGTTTACTGGAATCAGTGTTGCAGTCTCCCATCGCCCCTCATCCCGCTCCTCTCCCCTGCCGCCGCTACAGGGAGTGACCGGGCGAAGCCCGGCCAGCGGCTACGGCGGCAGGGCTCCTTCGCCCCCCGATGCGTGGATTCGATGCGGGACGGATCTGACGGGCAAGGGCGTCACGATGCGGAAGGTCGTGATGGTGCGATCCATCTTTCTAGCAGCTACGACGGGAGGCGGGTGACCCAGATGTGGCCTCCGGTGGTGGGGCGTGCTGGGTCTTGGCGGCGGCGGCGATCTGGCCCAGATCCGTGGTCCCAAGCACTAGGCGGCGCGGGCTGCGATCGGCAACGACAACTGGCTGGTGATGTCTTCTGGGCAGTAGTGGCCGACGTCAATGGTGGATCTGGGCGGTGGCGGTCCTCGTGTTTCGGTGGCTGCGTGTGTCTACTCGGCGAGGCACCACGCGGTTCCAGTCAGCTACTGGGGCCAGATGGCGCGATTGCCGGTGAAAATCTCGTCGACTTTGGTCTTACGGACGATGGCGGTGTCATTGACGTCATTTCCTTGTTGAGGCATCGTCGTTGCAGGCAACGTTATCTCCCCTAGGCTGCTCCAGGGGAAACCCTCGATCCGGGTCTTCCCGGATCGGACTATGACGCTTCGATGTTGTTCTCCCTTCTGGGGGCATCGTTTTGGAGCAGGTGCTGACTGAAAGGGCACAGCGATGGAATGGGGTTTTATCTTTTTTTAGAACAAAGACGCTAGGTGCTTCCGGCTTTAAATTAATAAAGCCCACATCATAGGCAGCGTACCAACAGATCCAAACCATACACACACAGACGGCCTCAGGCCACACACGAGGGAAGTCATAGGGTTCAAGGCAGACCGCGAGCAAGAGTTACATGGCTCGAGGGCCAAATACTGGGCACGCAGGCTCGCAAACGAACAAAAGGGCCACTCCTTTAAGAAGTGGCAGTTGGTTCCCTAGCCATCATGCACACCTGGCGGAGACAGTTTTAACTGTGCTACATCCTCTCAGCATCCTTGCGCCTCGCCAACGGATTCCACTACTGCAGAAACAGATTGCATTTGTAGATAACATTAGCCGAGTGGGTCGGGAAGATCCCCTCAATAGCTAGTTTGTTCCTAGTTAACCAGCGCGCCCAGAATAGTGCCCCAACACAGCTCCACAGAACTCGTTTTCCACTACCCTGGACCGAGTCTAGAATGGCCACTAAATCACCGGTGGACCGCGGGTCCCATGGCACTCCCGCCGTGGTCCAAACAACGTTCCAAGCGAACCTAGATAGCAGGCATCAAAAAAAGACGTGATTTGCGTCCTCGACTACATTGCAGACCGTAGATGTGCATGTCATCGGCCCCTGCCGTTTTGCTACATTTTCGAACCTGGGCAATCTGTTGCGAAACAGTTGCCACATAAACACTTTGATTTTGAGAGGGATGCGTGCCTTCCAGAGGCCCTTAACCACCGGCTGGGCCGCCCCTTGGCAAAGCTTGTGGTAAAGCTATTTGACCGTAAACTTGGCGGGCGAGGTGAGCTCCCAGGTCACCGAGTCGGCTGCAACAGACAACGAGGTCGAGCTGATGAGATCAAGCATCACCACATAATTCGCTCGCTCTTGGTCATTGAGCTCGCGGTGGAAGTGAACCACCAGGGGGACGAGGCTAAGTCCAAGGCTACGGTCATGTTCGGGTCTACAGCGATCGCGTACAAGTCCTGGAATTCCGACCAGAGAGGTTGGGAGCCAACCCAAAAGTCTAGCCAGAACCTGGCCGATCAGCCATCTCCAATGGCATACTTTGCCCCTGTTGCAAAGGCTGGTTTGACAGTTTGGAGGTCGTTCCAGAAAGGTGAGACTCTTGCTACACCTTCGAAAAAATTCCCATTCGGGAAGTACTTTGTACATAGAAGGTCCACCCCCAAGCCCGTTGCCCCTTGTGATATTTTACAAATCCACTTGCACAGGAGTGCAATTTTTAGAATTCTAGTGTTGGTGATCCCGAGGCCCCCCAAGGCCTTGGGACGGCATACCGCCGCCCACTTCACCATGTGGTACTTGCGCTTCGGGCCCGTACATTCCAAAAAGAAACACGACCAAGGTGTGTCCATTTTGGCGCGAACTCCTTCAGCCAGCAGAAAGAGACCCATCACAAACATAGGCAGGGAGGACAGGCTCGAGTTCATGAGCACTAGCCTAGCTCTGGAGGAGAGGAATTTGCCACGCCAAGGGCACACCTTTCCCCCAATCTTGGCACAGAGCGGAGCCCAATCATCGATCGTTAGGAGTTTACTAAGGGCAGGCCTAAATACGTGAAGGGGAACTTGCCAAGTTTACAGTTGAGCAAGTCCGCGATGCGCCTGCCCTCCTCCGCGTCCAATCCCATGGACAAAACTTCACACTTTTGGAAGTTGATCTTCATCCCGGAGATGAGCTCGAAATTAAGGACGAGGGCTTTGATAGTGGCCACACTGTGGAGGTTCGGTTGGAACAGCAGTAACGTGTCGTCAGCGTACTGCAGGTGGGAGATCCCCCCTGGGATGAGGTGACTAACCACACCTTTGATGTGGCCGACCTCTGTGGCTTTCCGCAGCATAGACGCCAGTGCGTCGACTATGAAGTTGAATAGGATCGGGGACATTGGGTCGCCCTGACGGAGTCTGTGCCTGCTCCGGAAGAAGTGCCCTACTTCTCAGTTGACCTAGATTGTTGTCTGGCCCCCGGGACCAACTGCATCACTCGATGAACCCAAACAGTCGAGAAACCCTGACTAAGGAGAACTTGACACAGGAAATCCCAATTAACCCAGTCGTAAGCCTGTTCGAAGTCCATTTTTAGTAAGATAGCCGGTTCATTTGTACGTTTGAGCTCGTGAATAATTTCCTGTAGAGCCAGAGGGCCCTCCAGGATGTGGCGGACGCGGATGAAAGCAGATTGCGAACGACTAATTGTGCATTGAGCGATCGGGACGAGGCACGTAGTGCACACTTTGGCACAGATCTTGAAAGGCACGTTGATAAGCGCGATGGCTCTATACTCGTGAATGTTATCCACCCCCGCCACTTTGGGGATAAGCGATAAAACGCCGT